CGCTGCCCTGTTCCCTCCCTCCTGCGGTTTCCCTTGGCACCGGGAGCGGTGTCTCGCGTGGGCCCGTCACGCGAGACCCGCCTTTTCCTTTAAGGTATTAGAGATAGAGATAAAAAAACCCAATTCTCTCTCTTCTTCCATCACCGAATCATCACAAGCCATCAATAAAACAAAAGCAGCATAGATAGAGAGTATAGTAGAAGATGCAAGGTTGGCCACGTTTGTGTGGTGTGGTTCAGTGCCAAGTGTCCACACCACACACACGCACTCGTCTGCTGCCTAGCACCTCTAGACTCTAGCGCTGCTCCAGCAGCGTGGTTGGCGAGTCACTCAACTCCTGAATGCTGCGTCCCGGAAATGAGGGCGGCCCAGCTATATATAGCACTGGACATACTGGGTGCTGCTGCAGTCTACATCCTGGGCCGTCCGATCGTAATGCCGAGCGACGGTCCAGGATGCAGCCCCAAATCCTGGTCCTGAATCCTGGCCTCAGAACGGCCTGCCTGGGTCCCAACCGGACGTCCCAACCTGGGCCTGCATCCTGGACCGTCGCTCGGCATTACGATCGGACGGCCCAGCGGCCGTTTTTTTTCTTCTGGCCTGGTGCATTTCGTTTGGGGCTGAACCACGTTTTCAGTCCAGCCCCTGTTTCGTCATCTTGTGAGGACACCTCTGCTGGTTCAGCAGAGGAGCTCCTGGCCTCAGAACAGCCTGCCGGGGTCCCAACCGGACGTCCAGGCTCCTTTGCTGAACCAGCAGAGGTGTCCTCACAAGGGGACGAAACAGGGGCTGGACCGAAAACGTGGTTCAGTCCCAAACGAAATGCACCAGGCCAGAAGAAAAAAAAACGCCCGCCGGGCTTGAAACGGCCCAGCTGGTCCGGAGAACTGTCGGGCTGGACAAAAATGCTGAAACAACACATCCGGACGGCACGAATCTTGACAGACAAACGAACCCAGAACAGACAAACGACTGAAAACAACACACAAAAGAACTCAGAAAAAGGCAGACGACCGGGACCGAAAAAAAAAAAAAAAGGGGCAAACCCCAAAACGCACACCCTACGCCCCCTAAACCAATGCCGGGTCCTGAAGGAGCCCGTGTGGAAGCCGTGCATACCACACTATCCCACCTCCGTCCTCTCCCTCACCCACCACCAAACGAACGAACAAACAGAAGTACCCATGGACCCCCTTCTGGATCGCTGGAGAGGTCAGTAGGTGCAGAATTTTCAGAGCCCGATGTTGATCTCTTCCTTGGCAGACCACCGAGTTGCAGAGACGCATGCTCCTTTTCTTCTTCTTCTTCTTCTTCTTCTTCTTCTTCTTCTTCTTCTTCTTCTTCTTCTTCTTCTTCTTGTGTCTATTACTTTCTAACGAGGAAAAGCGGAGAGAGAGAAGAGGAGGAAGGGTGCAGAGAGAAGCTGTGACCAGAGGAAGATAGAAAAGGAGAGGAGAGAAAAGGAAAAGAGAAAAGGGGAGGAGAGGAGAGGAGAAAAGCAAAGAAAAAGAGTTTCAAGAAACAGGAAAAAAAAAAAGGAATGGTCCTTTGGGGAACAATACAAAGAAGATTTAGCATGGATCGCTAAGAAAAAAAAAAAAGAAAAAAAAAAGGAGAGATTTAGCACGGAAGCTGTGCAAAGCAAAAAGGGAAAAAAGAAACCTGCTGCTTCATCACTTGTGTTGTTGCCTGTAGACCTACTTTTGAGGCTGGGAATGCAAGGTACCCCTGTTGTCAGAGAGGCCCTGCCAATCTGATCTGAGGTACCAACAGCTCACTGCAGGGCCACATTGCACTGAGCTGTAGTGGTCATTCTTGCCGCATGTAGAGTGAAAAGATACCCCAAATACAGACAACTATACTGACCGTACGTTGCATTCGGGTGAAGAAGGTAGTCTGAAGGCTCTGAAGAGTCTGAACCTAACACGCATTCACATCTCCTGGGCCTTCCCTTCTTCCCCTGAATAAAACGTACGGTCATTTTCTTGATGCATTTAGACTGAAAGATACCCCAAATACATACATCAATACTGACCGTACGTACGTTGTATTCGGGTGAAGAAGGTAGTCTAGCACAATTATAGTTAGTGCAGGAGGTTGTGAGACTAGGAGGGGAATCCTTTGCAACATTGATTTTTCGTTTGGTCTCGTCGCTACGGTGAAGCACTTGAGCCCCGATCCATTTTTTCGGTGCGATGAAGGTAGACAACAATAAGTGTAGAATACGTACGACTCAGGTCCGCCAGTGGAGCCGCAAACGTAGTCGTTGAAATGCCACCTTCTTTTTTTTTTTTTTTTCTTCTGAATGCCACGGGTTTTTGCACTGCATTGCGAAATGCAAGTATATCTGCGCGGTCCATAGGGATCATAAAATTTTGAAAAAGCAATTACACGGCTTACACCTGCGAAGAATCCAGCCTACCCCAAGGGGTTCAAGATTGACTGCAGGGCTGCCTGATTTGCATTGACACCTTGTTTTCCCTTTTTTTTTTTTTTTAATTTATTATTATAGGCCAGTAGAGTCGAGTCCTTCTGGACATCCGTTAAAAGGATCGGAACGATGCGGAGAAGGAAGATTAGCAAATGGCCACTGCGCTGTCATGGATGACACGCATAAATCGAGAAAAGGTCCAACTTTTTTTTTTTTTCCAACTTGTAAAAGAAGAAAGAAAGAAAAAAGAAGAAGGAAAAAAGAGAGAATTAAAAAGAGGCCAGTTATTAGGGGGGGGGGGGGGGGGGGGAAGTTTATGAGCTANGAGCTACATAAGGTCAATCAAGATAACAGGCTGATTTCCATGCACATTTTCTTGGGAAGGGTTACATTTGTGAGGGGGGCAGGGGATGGGCTGCAGGTTGGGCTTGACTGACAGCCAATCCTCCTTCTTAGCCGATGCCGGGTGACGGCCCGGGTAATTCATTTTGTTCTGAAAATTTTCTCATATATGTTTTCAAATGGGACGCTGAGCCCGGCTGCCAGCACAGCATGGCCAATCGGTCATCACCAGGATGTGATACAGCTTCGCATTGTCTGCAAAGAGTCTGATTATTGTCTATAAACATTTTTTGCAGCCAAGACAAGACCGACCGTGCAGCGCCGGTGATCATCTTTGATAAGGGTATTGGCCAAGCATTTGCGAGGGATTAGGGCCTTGGCAGACCCCAAATGGGCCGCATCCAAATCACTGTGTGGTAGAGGGTCTGTGGGGGCTCAACATGTGACTCGGCCCAGAGCCTAGACCCCACGCGCGACAGTTGGTATAGCGGCGTGTGGTGGTTGTCGACGCATCAGCAAGCAGGGAGGCCCTGGAGGCCAGTTTCTGAAAAGGCCCAGACCGAAGGGCTGTGTGACCAGGCCCAGGACCAAGGGCGCTACAGTGCTATGAACATTAGTTAGAATAATAATAAATATTAATAATAAATTAATAATACTCGGAAAAAATAGTCCAAATCATTTCTATCGTGGTTCCATGAACAATTCTCTCTGGAATTCGATTTTTCTTATAGCGAAAAATTGAAAATGCCATAAAACACGAACCAACATCCATAGCACAAAGATCAGAATCACCATCAAAAAAAAAAAGAAAAAAAAAAAAAGAAGAAGAAAGATAATAAGATATCATGAATGATGCAGGGGATAGGGGTCAGCGAAGAGCACCTGCCCTCAGAACCATTTCCTGTGACAGTTTCCCGTCATGCAGCTCGCCGACCAAAACCTTAGCTCTTTTTTTTTTTTTTTTTTCCGCCCCAAAAAAAAAACTGTAGCTCAGGAAGGGAAGCTGACAATTGTTTTAAAACAGATTCGCTTCACGCCTTCCGACTCTTTTTTTTTTTTTTTTTTTTTTTTATCAAACATCGTGTTGGGGGGATTACCACTTGAGAAGGTGATAGAAGGATCCTTCTCAACTGGCTCCCTTACTCGAGGGCTCCATCTATTAGTGGGGAGCAGCACTTGCTGGAAATGGGGTCCAGCGTCCCAGCAATGATAATGTACAGAGTGGAATTGAAACTGAGATTGTTGCTTGAGCTTTTTTCTCTAAGATGTCGACTCTTAATTGTCCGGAATCAATCTCACATGTACGTGGCCTGGAGCCTACCGGCCAATGCGAACTGGGACAGGACGCGGCGCTACTGGGGACCATGTCAGTGCCTGGGGCCAGACAGGCAGCTGTCGCCAAGCCAGACACTTTCTACAAACGAAAGCGCCTGCCTCCAGCCCTCCAGTCCAGACACTCTCTGGCTGGAGGCTCATGCGGCCGCGCTGCCATTTGGTACGCTGACTGAGGCTGGGCGCTCGCTGGAAGGAGCGCACACGGGCGCTGAGCGCAAGGCTGCAGAGCGCAGCTAGGCGAGCGGCAGCCATAGCCGGACTGCTCGCTCTGGATGGATGCCGGTGGGGTCGGAAGGTGGTCCTTGGGGGCATGGTGGTAGGCTATGAGGGAACAGACAGGGAGTGGGCTTGAGAGAGAGGAGGACGTACCTGGTGTGGTCGTGGAGGTCTGCATGGGCGACATCCTCATGTGCATCAGTTCTGCTGCTGAGGTTCTTTTCGTTGCATCATCATCGAGCCGGCTAGGATTAGCCACAACAGACTCACGACTCGATGACGATGCTGCTATTGTGGTCGTGAGTCTGTTGTGGTTGGTTGCCAGGCGCCAATTGGAAGAGCAGCATTGCATACTTGGTTGATGGTGGCGAGACAAGGGACTGACATTGACAATTGAGTTCATTGTTTTGCTCTCTTATTTCAATTTTCAAGTTATTTGATGTGTACTTGGTGCATTCTGCTTTCTGGGCGACACACGACTATCTGGTGGTTTCCAATGTGCTGATGCAGTTTGGATTTTCTGCCATTGGCTCTGGCTCATTTTCCTTTTTTCCTTCCACAATGTGATCCTGGAAAAAAAAAAAAAAAGAAAAAAAAAAGAGACGCCAGTAGAAGTCCAAGTCGTGAAAGCCTATGGAGGGCGCGGAAGCCAGTGAGAAATGCAAAAAATGCGTACCTGCACAGATGAGCACTGACCCACAGGGACGTGACCGAGCTTGTATGTTGCCCCGCAAAGAGCGCTGCAATAAGGAGTCCTGTGATTTCGCCATCTGTCAGGTGGCGTCCTGACGACTTGTAGGTCGCCTCAATGAATGTCTGCAGAAGATCGTTTTCGGAAATGTTCGCTGCGCGCCGATTGGTGATGACACGCGAGAACAGTCGCCTGAGCTCTTTGTTCGCTTCGTCGCGTTTCTTGTGCGCGGGGATCGGCAAATATGGGAAGAAGAAGCTAATAGGAAGCATACCCTGGTCCAGGTCATGCAGAAGGTCCGAAACTTTTTCAAACATCTGCTCCCGGGCCTCTCGACCGAGCAACGTGCGGCTCGCGGTCGCAATGATAAGGTCGGCGAGATCCTTCTTCAAATCGATAACTCCTTCAACCCCCCATTTTGCAAAATGCGCCTGCATAAAGAACGGACAAAAGACAAACAGGCCCTACAATAGCTCAGTTGGTAGGTACACCCATGAACTGAACTGTTGAAATACAGACCCACCCAAGTTCAAACCCAGATGCAAATTCGTCGATTAACAAAATAAACAAGTTTAAACTTTAAATAACCCACTTCCGAATTACCTACATAGGGGCCGGTCAGTTCAATCAACTTCAATCAAGTTCAAACTTCAATGATGATATCTCCTCTTTTTTTTTTTAAGTGTGTGTGTGTTTTTTTTTTTTTTTTTTTTTTTTTTCCCCTCCAGTGCTAGCGGTGCTGGTAAGAGCAGACACCGCTAGCACCTGGGGAAAGGCTCCATCTATTGGTGGGGAGCGTCACCTGCTGGAAAACGGGTCCAGCGCCCCTTGTACAAAATGATTCGGAAAATAGTCAGAAAAAAGAAGAAACAGAGAAGATCCTGCCAGCATTGATTACTCTGAATTCAGAGGATTGACTGAGCAGGTTGCTCACACCTGCTCAGTCAATCCTCTGGTTCCCAGAGCAATCAATGCTGGCAGGCATCCTCTAGACACCATCCAGTTTTTTCTATGCATCATTCTGTATCAATTTCTGTATGGGACGCTGGACCCGTTTTCCAGCAAGTGAAGCTCCCCACGAATAGATGGAGCCTCTCCCCAGGTGCTACCAATGTCTGCACTAAACAGCATCGCTAGCACTGGTGCGTCTGTTTTTTTGTTTAAAAAAAAAGAAAAAAAAAAGGATTGACTGAGCAGGTTGTTGAAAGAGCCCTGCTAATACTAACCTTCTCCCTTCCAACTGTACCCTACCCCCCTTCCAACTCCACAACTGGAAGCCGGGTCCCACATCCCTGGTTTGGAGACAGGAAAGTACCACTGGGGGGCAGCAGCGGTACCGTTCGTCCCCCTGCCCATTTCTAACCCATCCATCTACCAAATTCCGCTTGGCTGCTAGCAGTGCCTGTTCCCCTTCCTCGACCTGAGGCGTGATTTGGATACCCATGGGGCCCGCTGGGGCCCACCAGTGGTTCTTCACATCGTTTCCTTGCCCGCCCCTCCATCCGTCCAGGTTATGTACATTCTCCGCAGGTCTTGAGTCCGTCGTTTTGTTTGCAACGGCACTCTATTTGCCCATCACCGTTTAAACGGAAAACAAACAGCAAAAGAGAGGAACCACTAATTAGCAAGGACCTCCAGGAAGCTAATCGGGACGTTATGGTGTTTGTTTCCTCCGAAACCGCTTGAAAGTTCCAGGAGTGATTTGCCCTTTGCCCTTTGTGGAGGTTACCTGCGAGCGTGCTGATCCAGGAGGTAATCGGGAGGAGGTTAAATGCTGCTTGCACGCTTCGAAGTGCGTACCTGGTCCAGTTCACATCTGTCAGGTTTCAGTATTTATTTTGAACTATTTTCCATTGTCGTCAGCAGCAAAAAAAAAAAAAAAAAAAAGAACAGGAAGGACCTCCAGGGAGTCCAGGGGTGATATATTATATTCTACGCCTGCAGATAATCAAATGGACCAAGGAGGGTGGGCGGCGGGGGAGAGGGGAAAAGCACCAAGGAGGGGGTGCTTATTTGACAGGGCTGCTGATGAGTACTGAGCAGAAAAAATGGAGAATAGAGTTTTACTTAGTAGGTGTTCAGTACTGTTTACTAATTCAAATTTCAAATTATAAACTAGAAAATTTCAAAGTTTGGACTCAATTTGATGACAAAACAAGTGAGTGAATGATCATTAACTCCTCACAATTGTGCAGGCAGAAGCCACCAAGCAGGCACTGTAGCTATTTTTGGGCTGTTTGAGAAAATGTGGAGTATTGCCAAGACCCGCCAAGGGGGCAAAAAACAAAAATAAAGAAGAAGGTGTCAGGATAAGAACCTGCCTACCGTTTCCCCCCCGAATACAACAAACGGTCCTTGTGGCTGCATTAGGGGCAACTTTCAGTCTAGATACAGCAACAATAATGACCCTTTGTTGTTCTATTAAGGGGAGGAGTTGTTGGGGCACCGACTTGTCTAAGCTCAGTTAGTAAAAAAAAAAAAAAAAAAAAAAAAAAAAAGTAACACCTATGACCACTGCTGAAAGACAGACCTGAGTTCGAATCCCATTGGAATCAAATGAGTTAAACTACCTTTGAGTTAACCTGGGGCCGGTCAGTTCAAGGCCGTCGCCCTTTCAAAAAAACAAGGGGAAGGGGGGGGGAGGGGAGGGGAAGAAAAGAATGTTGGGGGCTACTCCCTTTGTTTGATAATAATAACTAGATAACGAGTGTAGCATGGCCGACTGTCGGCACCCCTCTGACTGGTAGGCACCGATCTGCTCACTGGAGGACCACTTGGCACCTACAGGAATCGGGCCCTCTTCAGGCCCTTCTTCTCCCTCCCTTCCCTCCCCTCCCTCCTCATCCTTGGCGTCCTCCACCACATACTAGAACTGCAATAAGTCGGCCCTCACAGAAACGGACGTCCATTACGGGATGAGTGTGGAAAAAAACCCAAGTAAGATTTGTTGGGGTTTCATTGCTGAGCGGCTTGAAGATCATGCTGATGAATGTCATCAACAAAGGGCACTTCATCTCAATACAGCATCAGATTATAAATTTCTGGGCCATCATATTTGTTCCCATTGGGATACCGATAATTTGTTTCCGAAGCGTGCCGTCTCTCGTGTACAGAAAAGTGTTTTGTACAACAAAGCTCAAGGCTTTGAAGCATCGATAGCCCGCTGGCTTAGGAAGATGGCAACCCTGGCTTAGGAAGACGACACCCCTGGCTACGGACGGTTGAGGGTTCAAAGCCTGGATACGGACTGTTCAGGGTTCAGCTTCCTGATCAATCAGTGGAAGTCTAACAAAACAGTGTGTCACAGCCACCTGGCATTTTGTCTTTTCCATAGCCTTCTGCCCATGGTTTAGAGGGGCAGGCAGTCCTCGGACATAGCAGTGTGACCAATAGGGGTCCATGGCGGTGAAACCGATGCATATGGTGTTGAGATCGACCCCTCCCAAGTAAAAAGAAAGATGACAACAAGGGGTGTCACTGCCTGGCTTTTTGTCTTTTTCATCCCCTTCTGCGCATGGTTTACGGGGGCAGGCGCTCCTCTGACATTGCAGTGTGACTAATAGGGGGTTCATGGTGGTGAAACCGATGCATATGGTGTCGAGATCGACCCCTCCCCCATCAAAAAAGGATGACGACAAGGGGTGTCGCCCCCCTTCTTTGGAAGTTGTCAAGATTGTTCTTAGCCGAAGCCAGGTAATGGCCCTGGTATTTCAAATCTTTTGTATCATTTTATATGGGACGCGGGGCCCGGTTCCCAGCACGTGTTGCTCCCCATGAATAGACTGGAGCATTTGTCCCCCCCCCAAAAAAAAAAARAAAAAAAAAAAAAGTTCACACCAGGTGCGTGGGTAACGTACACCCCGGGACTCACTAAAGGCAGCATAAGCCACCAGCCAGATTCTCTGCTCCTTGTCCATGCAAAAATCAGAGCCAACCAACGAGCTTAGCTCAGTTGGTACACCTATGAACCATTGATGATGCTCCAGGCTAGGAACTGAAATGGCCGTAGTCCCAAAAAGACACGGTACTGAGAGGATGTATCTAAGGGACGCTGGACCCAGTTTCCACCAGGTGTCGATCCCCACCAATAGATGGAGCAGCCTGACATGCAAAGCCTCAATGCCGGTGGTTCTCTTACCACCACAGGCATAGAGGCCTTGCAGGGGGGGGAGGGGGGGCAAAAACACACACACACACTGAAACGGTATTCACCAGTTCGCAGTAGCGGATGCAGATTCCAGGGCTCGATCCCTAGTTCCCCATCCTACCTGTGTACAGTACCTGTGGCAACCCGTAGATTTGAACCTGCGACCTGTAGGACCGCCAGTGGTAGGTAGGATCTCGTAGGCTACAGGGTACAAGGGATTCGAACTGTAGACTTGTCGGGTAGGAGTCTAGACAGTCCAGAGGTCGTAGCTGTAGACTGTCCGAAGGGTCAAAGTCATAGCTGCTACTTACCTGAAAGGGCAGAGTCGTAGCTGCTACAGTACCGAAAGGCCAGATAGAGGTTTCTAGAAGTGGCCTTTCGGAAATCAGCCCACTGTAGGTCCAGGCAAGTGGGCAAGTGGTGGAAGTCCACCACGCACAGTCAGCAGTCCCAGTCCAGTCAGTCCGGTCCAGTCAAGCAAGTACCGTCTGGGACTGTGTACACCGCGGGCCAGGGAAACAGGGCAGACCAACGAGTCACGGAAGTATAAATCAAGAGGCTGCGCACAGCMATTCATTCATTCCTGCGGAAGCCATGCGGAAGCGCTGCTTCAGCGTCTTGTGCGAGGAGGTCTGCAGTAGGCCTTACAGACCCAAATTCGAATCCTGTTGAACCTAGACAAATGCAATGAGCTAATTCTGAATTACCTGGGGCCGATCAACTTGAGGATGATATCTCAAGCACCCTGTTTAAATAAAGAAGGGGGGAAAAGAAGGAAAACAAAGAGGGGGGGGAAGAGGGGGGGAATCGGAGCCAGGTGCAGCCAAACAAAAAAAAAAAAAAAAAAAGCCAGACCAACTAAAAGTTATCCAAGCTTAATCATATCAGAGCAGGGTGCAGGCAACCAAGAAAGGTGAATCCAAGCTGAATCAGAGCAGAGCCAGGTGCAGCCAAACAAAAAAGCCAGACCAACTCCAAGTGGTCCAGAGCCAGGCACAGCCAAGCAAGGTAGATACAGTATTGGGCGTGGCTCCACTACTCTCGAAATGTGCAAAACGAGAGAGAATTTTCCCCTAGAACATGGAAAGATGCACCGCCATCATTATTATCGTTTGTGCATATCGAGAGTACTGGAGCGGCCGACCTCGCTCCACTACTGTCGACATGCACAAACGATAATAATGATGGCGGTCTGTGGGCCTAGCTCAGTTGGTAAGGCACAGAAGTTGCATTCAGGAGGTTGTGGGTTCAATCCCCATTGGCCTCACGTACGTGCCATGGCAA